TAGGGACCAGTGGGTAGCGTAATAGTTACGTTGCTGGACTCCCACATGGCTGACCATTATTCAAGTCCTGGACCCAGGCGCTTGAAAATCATGCCAGGCTCGTGTGTTTGCATACCTAACATCCTGGGAGGAGAATGGAAGAGAAGGGATTGTGTCATGGTCATCCCTGCTTGGGGTTGATTTCCTGCCACTGTGTCTGTCTGTCTCTCTCTCTCTCTTTCCCCAGCAAGTACTTAAGACAAAATCCTCTCAAAAAAAAAAAAAGGCTTGAAATCCATGCATAGTTTTACATAATATGTGTTGTCTGTGAACTTCTTGAAGATTCCTCAGAGGGTTAAGTGGGTGAATGTGGTATGCTGTCTTCTGTGGCTTCTCCAACAGGACAACCAAAATTACCTAAAAGTTCACTCATCGTGGTGAGCTTCCTCTTCCCCCTAGTAGTTTCTGAATTCTGAATTTTTAAAAAATTACTTTATTAACTTTATCCATTTATTTATTTTTATTTGACCCTAGAGGGATAGAGTGAGAGAGAGAGAGAAAGAGTGAGAAAGCAAGCTGCCAGATCTGGGACTCGAACCAAGGTCAGCCATGTGGGAGTCCAGCACCTTTAACCACCACGCCACCTTCTGTGTATAGCTTTCTGTAATGCTCCACAGAGGTTTTTTTGTTTGTTTTTGTTTTTGAGAGGTTTTCACTATAGGGCACGTGCGCTCGTCAGACAGACACAGAGAGACATAGAGACAGAAAGCGAGAAATCACCCCCCGGGGGGATGGTCACGCCGCAATCCCTTCTCCTCCATTCTCCTCTCGAGATCTTGGGCACGCATGCACACATGCCCGACGTGAGTTTTAAGCCACCGGGTCCAGGACGCGAACCGCGGTCGCCTACATGGGAATCCAGTGACATAGCCATTACGCTAACTCCTGGTTCCCTCCACAGAGTTTTTGAAAACAGTGTTTATTGGGTACCAAATTTTCGATGTAGCTTTTGATGAATTTTACTGATGGAGTGTTTGGCTCCTCTGCGTTCTTACCACTGTCTTTGTACTCTTGATCTTTGTGTACTGGGATATACCCTACCATGGTCTTGCAGGCCAGCTGCTGGTGTAGTAGTGAAGGCTGCTGGATCCCACGTGGCTGACTGTACAGCTCAAGTCTCAGATTCAGTTTGAGCATGTGTGTGTGTCTATACCCCAAATGCCAAAGCAATGGAGAAATGGAGGAGAAAGGGTTATAGCATGACCATGCCCCTTGGGGGGATGCTTCCTCACTTTCTCTCTCTCTCTCTCTTTCTCTTCTCTCTGGCGAGTGTACGTGCTCTCTGGCACATAAAAATCTCTTGCAACAATTGTGGGTTTGTGAATTTGTATTTCTGTATTTCAGATAGGTTCAAAAAGTACATGTTAACGGCTATACTTTTTATCAATGTGACATGTAAAGATTGTCTCTGTGTCAGTCTTTCTGCTTTAGGTCTATCACTGAAGTTTGATCTTTTAACCCCACCACTTACTCATTGTAGAACATACAGAAATTACAATAACATGTGAGGAACAACTATCATCTATAACCTCCCCTCTAGTTTACCATTATTAAGTTTAGGTTTTGTTCCTTCAGCCTTTTTGCTGTTACATTAAAATATGCAAATTTAAAATATGTATGTAATTTTTTAAAGAGGTTTTTGCTATAGGGCACGTGTGCTCGCCGGAAAGACAGAGAGAGAGACAGAGAGGTAGAAAGCGAGAAATCCCCCCCCAGGGGCGATGGTCATGACGCAATCCCTTCCCCTCCATTTTTCTCTCAGGATCTTGGGCACGCACACACACCCGGCGTGAGTTTAAGCCACTGGGTCCAGGACTTGAACCGCAGTCAACTACATGGGAGTGCAGCGACATAGCCATTATGCTAACTGCTGGTCCCATAATTTTTCTTTTAAAATTGTCAGAGGGCATATGCACTTGCCAGAGATAGGGGGGAGAGAGAGAGAGAGCGCGAGCGCGCAAGCGGGCAATAAAAAGTACCCTCAATGGGGCATGGTCATGCTGCAGCCCCTTCTTTCTCCATCCTGTTGTGATTTCAGACATGCATGCACATGTACCTGGCCTATCCTTCCAGCCACACCGTCAGGATTCAACCATGGTCAGCTATGTGGGATATGGCTCTTTTCACTACTAGGCTTTGAAGCCAGCCTTATTTTCCCTTCTTCGTTTAGTGTTCCGGCATAAACGTTCTTATTTTAATGAATGCTAACAGTTAATTCTGAGTGATAAAAATGTGGTATGTCCATTGCTGTAGTGGACATACTGACCTTCAAAAAATAATTTCACATTGTTGACATAATACTGCTTTTTCTACTTTTGTCTTTTCTAAAAGCCTGAGTTAAAAAAAATAAAAGTAAACGCCTATATAATGTTTCATTGTGTGAATGTGTCGTAGATCCTTAAATCATTCTTACTATTTAATTTGAATTTGCTCCCAAGTTTTCTAGTTTTAAAGCTGTTAAGAAACACCTTTGTGCATAAGTTGTTTTTTTGTTTGTTTTTGTTTTGTATTTTTTGGAGAGGTTTTTACTGTAGGGTGCATGTACTTGCCAGAAAGACAGAGAGAGACAGAAAGACAGAAAGTGAGAAATCACCCTCCCCCAGGAGGGATGGCCACACCACAATCCCTTCCCCTCCATTCTCCTCTCGGGATCTTGGGCACACATGCCTGGCATGAGTATAAGCCATCGGGTCCGGGACTCGAACCACAGTCGACTACATGGGAGTCCAGTGACAGCCAACTGCTGGTCTCACATAAGTTTTTTTTCTGTATTTTCAGTTGTTTGTTAGGATAGAACCCCAGAAGTAGAATGCCAAGTTGTTTTTTTTAAAGAGATTTTTGTTATAGGGTGTGTGCACTCACCAGAGACAGACAGAAACAGACAGAAAGCGAGAAGTGGTCCTCCAGGGGTATGGCCACACTGCAATCCCTTCTCCTCCATTCTCGTCTTGGGATTTTGGGCATGGACACACACACACCTGGCACGAGTTTTACACCTTGTCCAAGACTTGAACCACAGTTGACTACATGGGAGTCCAGTGACATAACCATTGTGCCATCTGCTGGTCCTGCCAGATTGTTTTTTTAAAAGGTTTTATTCCCAACTAGAAATATGAATTCTAGTTTTGTTTTTTTTTTCATTCTGCATGTTTCATAAGTTAGAAAATCGCTTTTTTTTCCTAATTATTTGTGAAGTTGAATATTTCTCCAAGTGTTTATTAGTCATTTTCTCCAATATTTTAAGTTGGTTATATCTCTATATCCCTCTTATTTTGTGGCCTTAACTTTTTCAAGCATGAGCAATGTTTATATTTCTTATTCGTATCCTTAATCAGTAGTTTTGCCTTTCAGTTCAGTTTGTGTTTTCTGACAGCTTACGTGTTATTTTTTTCTTAGGATTTTGTAAGAGGGCATGTGCACTTGCTAGAGAGAGTCAGAGAGGGAAAGTAAGAAATCAATCCCCAGGGGGTATGGCGATGCTGCAGTCCCTTCTCCTCCATTCTCTTCTTGGGATTTTGGGCATATACACACACGTGCCCAGTGTGATTTTCAAGCTCTGATGTCTGGAACTTGAACCACAGTTGGCCATGTGGGAATCCAGTGCCTCAAAAACCACCATGCCACCTGCTAGCCCCTGACAGGTTAGTTTTACGTTGCCAGATCTATTAATCCTTAAGACGTGCCAGTAATAGATAAAATAATGTTAAAAAAATGCATGTGCTGACAGTTTTTTTTTTTATTTGTTTGCTTTTTTGAGAGAGGTTTTTTGCTATAGGGTGCCTAGACTAGCCAGAAAGACAGAGACAGAAAGCAAGAAATCACCCCCCTGGGGGGATGGCCATGCCGCAATCCCTTCTCCTCCATTCTCCTCTCAGGATCTTGGACACACTTGCACCCAGCGTGAGTTTAAGCCTCCAGGTCTGGGACTCAAACCGCGGTCAACTACATGGGAGTCTAGCAATGTAACCATTATGCCATCTGCTGGTCCCACCAGTTTTGTTTTCATTCCCTTGTTCTCTAAGTGGTAGACAGTGTAGTAACCTAAGGAACTTTGAAGTGGACTTAATGGATGCATTTATTTTTAAAAAGTTTTGAAATTTAGGGACCAGTGGGTAGCGTAATAGTTACGTTGCTGGACTCCCACATGGCTGACCATTATTCAAGTCCTGGACCCAGGCGCTTGAAAATCATGCCAGGCTCGTGTGTTTGCATACCTAACATCCTGGGAGGAGAATGGAAGAGAAGGGATTGTGTCATGGTCATCCCTGCTTGGGGTTGATTTCCTGCCACTGTGTCTGTCTGTCTCTCTCTCTCTCTTTCCCCAGCAAGTACTTAAGACAAAATCCTCTCAAAAAAAAAAAAAGGCTTGAAATCCATGCATAGTTTTACATAATATGTGTTGTCTGTGAACTTCTTGAAGATTCCTCAGAGGGTTAAGTGGGTGAATGTGGTATGCTGTCTTCTGTGGCTTCTCCAACAGGACAACCAAAATTACCTAAAAGTTCACTCATCGTGGTGAGCTTCCTCTTCCCCCTAGTAGTTTCTGAATTCTGAATTTTTAAAAAATTACTTTATTAACTTTATCCATTTATTTATTTTTATTTGACCCTAGAGGGATAGAGTGAGAGAGAGAGAGAAAGAGTGAGAAAGCAAGCTGCCAGATCTGGGACTCGAACCAAGGTCAGCCATGTGGGAGTCCAGCACCTTTAACCACCACGCCACCTGCCAGCCCCGAATTCTGAATTTTTTAAATGGAGAAACTTAAGGAGCACAAGTTCTATTTAATAAATACACAGCCCCGAGGAAAGGACACACACAAGCCATCCTAACCCAACAGTGCTTTTTCTCATATCCCTTCCTCTTGACCCTGTCTCTGCCCTTCTTCCTCCTCTTTGCCTGCAGAGCACCCCAGGGCCTTGTCAAAGTCATGTGCTTTGTCACTTCTTTTTCCTCTTTGTCAGTGAAAGGAACCCAGCGCCTCTCCACCGTCACCCTGCAGCCTTTGGAAGGGACCGACAGCAGCAGGACCTCGACCTCCACCAGCAGCGGGGGACACGCCGGCCTTCCTTCAGCCTCATCCCTCGCCTTTGTCAAAGGGCAGTGCAGGCTCATCTCCCGGGCCCGCTTTGAGGTGGACATCGGCTATTCAGAGGATCTGATTGCACTGTTTAAGCAGATGGATTCCAGAAATTACGGCAAGTAATTGGCCTCTCTCTGATTCCTGGGAAGCACCATGGTCTGCGATCTCAGCGTAGGGTGCTTTTCTCTGCCTTCAAAATGACTGTCTTGGCAGAGCCTTTCTGGCCTGCTGCTCTTCCAGTAGGAAGATGACATGTCAGTGGTTCTATGTACCGAACATGTAATGGGCACCATTTCATCCGTAAGCCTCTCAAAAACAGCCACCAGTTCTCCCCAGACACCTGGTCAGTGTCTTCTGGCTGAAGCAGATGAATTCCTGCTTCAGCCATTTGTATTCTTCTGTATGATTTTGGCCTCGGCAGAGCAGAGAAACAGGTGAACACTGTAAATGGAAGTGCTTTTTTGTCCATAGACTGAGAACATGGTTTTCAGATGCAAGCATGCAAGGGAACCACCTGGAGGTCTCGTTAAACACAGGTTGCTGGGTGACCGCCCCTTTCCTTCTGGTGCTGGAGCTCCAGGGTGACTGGGGAAGGAGTCTGCCCCTTCTTTCCCTCACATGATCAACCTCAGTTTGGAGAGGCCCTTGAAAAGCAAACGCAATGAACCGTGCCTCTTGCCAGTCTTTGAAATCACACTCCTGGCATGCTCTGTTGTTTTTCAGGCAGGTATAGCTATACTGACGCCATCCTGCCTGCATCCAAACATCTCAAAACCATGATTGGGTTCCTTGCCAGAGCTATTCACGGCCATTCTGTTTTCCGCTCTGCCACTGTCAGAGGACCTGTCCCATTCCTGCACCCGGGATCAGTCTGTCTGTGTTGCTCCTTCCCTCGCTGACTCCTGGCCCACCTCACTTTTCCCTGACTCACTGTGTCCTGGTTGTTTTCCTGACTATCTTGCTTTTGAAATAACCATGCAATGAGGAATATATTTAAGCTGCCCAGGTATTGTTTATTGAGGCCAAGCCTTCTCGCTTTCTCAAAAAGCAGATTAGTAGAGAAGGTCCTCTACTTAAATAATTAACCACTGTTGGGTAATAAGATGCTTACATTTCTTTGTAAATATTATATACAATTTATACTGCACTACACAAATTAGCACATGACATAACAATAAGTCGTAATAACAGTGCTCATTGTTTTCTAGTCGTATTTTTATAAGCATTTTACATTTACATTTTATATAATCCTCACAGTAACCCTGTGAGCTAGAGGTATAGTATCCTCATTTTTCAGATGTGGAAACTATGGCACAGAGATGTTACCTAACTTGCTCAATGCCATCAGCTAGTGAGAGGCAGAGCCAAGATTTGAACGTAGATGAGTTGCCCATTCCAATGCATGAAGCTTGTTTCTCAATGTGAAATGGAGCTAATAACAGCTTATCTCACAGAATTGTGAGGGGTGGCTGAGATGAAGTGGGTGTCTCTTGGCACAGTGTCTATCTTAAAATATGAACTGAGTAAGTGTAAGCCATAATTTTTACTACCATCTTGGGCATTCAGGACATTTCTGACCTGCCAGGCCCTCTCCAGTCATGCTTCCCCAGCCTTACCATCCAGTGTTGTCACCATTGCTGCTTGCCTGTCTTCCCTGGATGTCCCGGAAGGCTCAAGATCAAGTACTCCCTTCATTTCTGTTTCTCTAGTGCCAAGTACATAATGAGCTATATGTTCAAGCATAATGGAGGTTCATGAAGCTAGGGAGCCGTGGAGTAAGTGTGATGGTATAGCAGAAGGAAAGAGTTCTGTTTGCTTACTTATTTCTTCTCATTCATTGCAGATTGCAAAACCAGGAAGTGGAACTTTCTCTTGGAAGAGCACAGTAAACTAAGTGAGAAGCCTGCCTTACTTGCTTTAAATTGTGCTGCTGTTGAACTTAAATGATCTACCTTAAGTTGAATGCATTGTAAAAGGATCTCCTCTCCCTCTGCTACGGTCCCTTCACGTGCTTGAGTACAGATGGGGAGAGTTGAAAATGCCCCTGGGCAGCTTCATCTGTGTCCGCTAAGACATCAGCTTCTACACACAGGGCCGTGAGGGTACGGTGATCCTTGTAAAAATCCGGAGGCCTGTGAAAGCTCCCCACCATCTTAGAAAATTTGAGGGACCAGCAGATGGTGTAGCATTTATGTTGCCAGACTCCCAGATAGTTGACCGCGGTTTGAGTTTTGGACCTGGCAGCTTAAAATTCACGCCGGCAGATGGCATAATGGCTATGTCGCTGGGCTCCCATGTAGTCAACCATGGTTCACGTCCCGGGCCCAGTGGCTTAAACTCACGTTGGGCACGTGTGTGTGTGTGTGTGTGTGTGTCCAAGATCCCAAGAGGAGAATGGAGGAGAAGGGATTACAGTGTGGCCATTCCCCCTGGGGGATGATTTCTCGCTTTCTCTCTCTCTGTCTCTCTCTATCTTTCTGGTGAGTGCACATGCCCTGTAGCAAAAAACACTTCCCCCCCCAAAAAAAAAAAAAATTCACGCCAGGCATATATGCATGTGTGCCCAAGATCCTGAGAGGGAGCTGAAGGGATTTGTGGCATGGCCATCCCCCCGGGGGGTGGGGGGGGGATTTCTCGCTTTCTGTCTCTGTCTCTGTTTCTCCAGTGAACATATGTGCCCTATAGCAAAAATCTCTCCCAAAAAAAGAAATATTTGAAGTGATGGTACGTGGACTTTGGGGGATCAAAGGTGAGCTGACATGGCTAAGCTTAGATGGGAGCCGCCTTAGATTACTTTTAAGGTCATTTTCTTCTAAACTATAAGATCGAGAAGCATAGAAAAGTCTCAGTGGCGATGGGCTCGCAAGGCTGAGTTAAACTCTTGGAGACAGGTCAAAGAACAGAGAGGAGACTGACCCAGGGCCGGGGATGTGTGGATAGATGCAATAACTCAAGGAGAAGTCAGCGTGGGCTTAGCATTGTTCTTCCATGTGCTCTGCTGAGACGGGGCAGCACACTCTGAAGTGTCTGGGAAGGGGGGCATGATCATATCGCAGCCTGTCCTGAACGGTGTCTCTATTCATCTTCCAAGCTGTGATGATTCCGCGGTGGGCATGCAGCTAGCCAATGTATGTTTCCCCTGGCTGGCCCCCTGAAGACTTGTTGGGGAGAGTCATTTGTTGGTAACAGGCCATGAGGGACATGATCCAGCCCAGGGACCTCTGAGCCGTTGGCCATCTTCCCTGTCGGGCTAGGGCTTTAAGGGAAAGGGAAAGCTACGTCCCTTCCCTGTGTCCTTCTGTGACTGACTTACTGTGTGATGTTGGGTGGGTAATTCAGTATTCTGGGTCCTGTTTGTCCCTGTAGTGAAAAAGGGGTCTATCTGCACTGCTGACATTGGAATTAAATAAATATAAAGGAAACACTTTTGCTTTCTTGAGGAAAGGCTGGCTGTAAGCAGTAAATTTAAGTTTGAATGTGAGGCGACTCATTTACCATCAGTAAATGCTGGCTGAAGCAAAAAGGATGGCCAGTGTCATCTTAAGACTCTCTGGCTGTTACTATCTGGAATTTGTGATTGCTGGGAGCTATTCGGCCAAAGCTGAAGTTTTGGTGAGAAATCATAGTCACTGAGAGGACATATTAATATGCTGTAAATGCTTTAATAGAAAGACAAGGAGCGTGATACTTAGAGCATTAGAAGGTAACAGTCATTTTGAAAACCATGATTCAGGTCAACTTGTGATATGGTGGTAGGGGTGGCTGGATCTCACATGGCTGACTGCAGTTTGAGTCCTGTATTGGGCAGTTTGAGAAACAAACTGGATGTGTGTGCATGTGTACCCCAGATCCTGAAAGGAGGGAGTAGTGGAGGAAAAGGGATTGCAGCAGGAACACGCCCCATAAGGGGTGCTCCCTCACCAACACCACTCGTGAGCACATGCATTCTTTGGCAAAATTTTCTTGGGGGGGAGAGGTTTTTGCTATAGGGCCCATATGCTCACCAGAAAGACAGAGAGAGAGACAGAGACAGAAAATGAGAAATTACCCCACAGGGGGATGGCCACACCACAATCTCTTCTCTATTCTCCTCTTGGGATCTTGGGCACGCACGCACACTCGCCCAGCATGAGTCTAAGCCACCAGGTCCAGGACTCATACTGCAGTTGACTACATGGGAGTCCAGCGACACAGCCACTATGCCATCTGTTGGTCCCCCTCTGGCAAAATTAAAAAAAAAAAAAAGAAAGAAAAAAAGAGGCTCATAATTTACATAGCATTATATAATGATTACTAATCATTTGTGAGTCATAGACTCCTTGAAATATCTGATCTAGGGCCAGCAAGTGGCGTGGTGGATAAGGGCGCTAGACTCCCACGTGGCTGACCATGGTTTGAGTCCCAGACCTGCTGCTTACTTTCTCACTTTCCCTCTCTCTCTCTCTCTCTCTCACTCTGTCCTTCTCTGGTCAAATTAAAATAAATAAAGTTAAATGAAATAATTCTTTAAAAAAAATAGAAATACCTGATTTGAAGAAAATAATGGATTCTTCCCCTAGAAAAATGCACATAATGCCCACACATAAAATTCTGTTTTTGATATTAATAACTGTGGATCCTGAGACATCTAGATTTAGACTTTTTACATGTGGTCTCATGGACTCTGTCCTGTAATTTAAGACCAATCCCCCATACCCTGGATAGGAAAAAGCTTGGGCCTGGAGAAAAGAAAAAGCAACTTTTCCTCATTGCCCGCATTGCAGGGTCACAGCAAGGTCAGTGGCAGAAATAAGATCAAAGTTGCTATCCGTGTTTGTAAACTGACCCACTGTGCCATTTAGAAACCGGATCCCTGAAGAAACTGGGGGAGAAAAGCTCTATGGAATAGAACACAGTTCCCAGTTTAGTTCTGGTTTCACCTCTAACACACTGCGTACCTGGGAATTTGCACCTCTGTCCTCAGCCCGAGACCTCCTTCCTCGTTGGTCCTGAGCTGGTGAGCGTGTGCAGTGCAGCTAGTTACGAAATGACAGTAAGACCTGGGTATATGTGTGCTCGTTGGTAATGTGGTGGGAGTTTTCTCTGGCAAGGTGAGTCCAAGAACCTCCCTCCACTCTTTTCCAAGAAACATGAGGCCTTTTGCCACCCATGAAATTGGCGTGAACCCTTTTGTTTTCCCTGGCTGTCACAGTCCAGAAGTGTTCTCAACAATCTTGTCTTGGTGGCTGCTATTTGGAAACATTAGCATCTCTGCTGTGTAGCCGGTAATGCTCTGCCGGAGAGCTGTTTTACAGAAGCAACCTGTAGATGACTCACGAAGCCAGACAGCACACGCCTGTCATCTCCCAGCACCGGGGAAAGGACAGTGGAGGCAGTCGTTGACAGGGAATGGTGGCCTTCTCAGAAACACTCCCAGGTGGCTGATTTAACAGCAGAAGATTGGGGAGACAGTAGCTGTAGGAGACAGAATGGCTGTTGATTCCTCTTGAATGGCTGAGAGAACATTATGCTTACAAAGCACCACATTTCACGCCAGCCAGATCATCAGCCCTTTCTCAGCTTTCATCAGGTATTTAAATCCTGAAGATGACTAGGATTAAAATGAAAATGGTTCATGAAAGCACACGGAGTGCTCAGTCTCCTGAAGTGTGCAGAAATCAGCATGCTCAGATTTAATTTGGAGATATAAAATGTATTTTCTGTATCAAAATGGGCAGTCTATTTTATATTAAAGCTGTCGACCTTCCTAATTTTCTCTCATGGTAATTCTGTTCATAGAAATTGTTTCCAGAAATAACTGGTTCTTACATTCAGTGAAGGACAGAAATGGATTTAAATATATTGAAAATGCAAAGCAGTCAGAGGTAGCAGTAGATGGTTCAACCCTCTGTACTTATGTCAGTGTTTGCAGTGGTAACTAATGGACGGTTGTGGCAAAAGGCTTTTGGATACCTCATGAGGATATTAAGAAAATACTTTGGGGGCCAGCAGTGACATGGAGGTTGAAGTGCTTAATTCCCACCTGGCTGACCATGGACCTGGTGGCTTGAGAATCAGGCATACATGCATGCATGCTCCAAAGGAGAGTGGAGGAAAAGGGATTGTGGTGTAATCATCCCTCCAGTGATTTCTCACTTTCCTCTCTCCAGTGATGTATGCACCCTATGGCAAAAACTTAATTTTTTTTTTTTTTTTTTTTTTGCGGGGGGAGAGGGAGAAGATATTTGTGAAGGTATTTAAAAAACATGATCATATATGGGGAACCAGCAGTTAGCGTAATGGACTCTCCCTTTCATCATTTGTAAACAGCACTAAGTCCTACCAGTCTTTCTAGGAAACACCTAACTGCTCTACACAGGGCAGTGTCGTCTTGCCTCTTGGCATTGGGTAACTTAGAATTCTCTGCCTCCTCAAACATTGAAAATATCAAACTAAAACAGTAGAAGGGGGACCAACAAGATTTTTTTCTGTTTAAGACTTGCTTTTTTTTTTTTTTTTTTTTTTGAGAGGTTTTTTGCTATAGGCCGTGTGCGCTTACCAGAAAGACCGAGAAAGACAGAGAGACAGAAAGCGAGAAATCACCCCCCTGAGGTGATTTTTGAGAAGATGATGTGTACCAGAACCCCAGTTATGGAACTGTTTACCCCCAAAGCCTTCCCTTTCCCCTGGTCTCTTGGGCCTGCACACTCTGGCTCATACACCTCTGTTTGTTCTTTCCAGTTAAGAAGGTGCGCTGCCTCCCGCAGGTCCAGCTGGAACCTCTACCCACGACGAAAAACACACTTTTCAAGGGTCATAAGTGTCACCCTGGCTTTTGCATCTCAGCTCGAGAAGACGTCGCTCAGTTCCACCGCAGATGTCCCTGAGGCAGACCTTTCAGAAGTGGACCCCAAGCTCGTGTCCAGCCTGATGCCCTTTCAGAGAGCTGGAGTCAAGTAGGTTCTTGATCTTCCTCTTGTGTACCCTTGCCCCCATTCCATCACTCACCAGTCTGGGTTCAGATGCTTCTTTATGAACGCCGTCTTCCGGGGGCGTCTGTCTGAGAGAATGAGCCGTTAAACAGCGGTTGTGCTGTATCAAAGCCTGATTGTAACCATTGATTTCAAGTTCCGTGGGTTAATTGAGACCCTGAATCGCAGGTGTACAGAAATCCAATTCAAACTAGCTTAAGGAAAGAGATTTCTTAGTGCGTGTAATAGAAAATACGGAAACTAAAGATTTCATCAGGGCTCTCTGTGCCTCTTGCAGCTTTGCTTTTTTCTTGCTCTGTTCTCAGCCAGGTGTTCCTCCCATGTGACATCTAGGGTTGTCAGGGACTTCCGACTTGTACTCTACCAGCGTAGCAACCCAGGGAGAAGCTGACTTAATTGATGGGTCTAACACTGCAGTGGTTTAAATCTTATGCCGTGTCCAAACTTGTCAGTGTCAGTAGCTAGTGTCCTCGGAGGCATGAAGGCATGTTAGTTAGACTGGGTGAGGGACCATCCCTGGAGCCAGAGGCTAGGGTTTGTCCCATTGAAATTACTTGGACTGAGAGTGGGTGGAGGTGATGGTTCTCCAAAGTAAGCTCAGGGTATTTTTATCATAGAAAAAAGAAGAGATAACCTAGTGGTTAAAGGGAGCTGTATCCTATACAGCAAACTGTAGTTCGAATCCTGGCCCTGGTGGCTTGAAAAATGTACCAGGTACATGTGAGTGAATGCCTCAATCCCAACAAGATGGAGAAATGGTGAAGGGATTGCAGAAGGACTATACACATTGAGGGTGCTCCTCTTTTTGTCTCTCTTTGGCAAACACATGTGCCCTCTGACAATTTTTTGTTTGTTTGTTTAAAGATAAGCTCATATCCTGACCTGTCCTTTTTCCCAGAATTTCTCAGAAGCTAACTGACAAGTTTGAAATTATCTTCTGAAAATACAGAGGTTCAAGAAGCAGAGAGAGGAGATCTCAATAGTCCCCCCAGAAATAATAGGAGTCCCTGTTTTGAGGTGGTGTGGCTGGCGATAGAGGCCTATGTACAGCAAGGAGCCTAAGTTATCCACAGAACTGGCATCTGAGACAGCCTGCCTGCTTGGAGCCTGAGGGCACCATCTTGGTGTATGATTGGTCCCTGTCCCTGGCAGGATTTTGTTTTCTGTGTGCTGTTTGGGCACAGCCACCCTTTACTAATGTTGGCATGTCCCAGCTCTGGCCACCCATTTCTTCCTTGCCCTTCTATCTTCCATCTCTGTAAAGTAACACACTTATTGGAATTTCATCTTATTTTGCCATTTCAGTCCTGCATCTGTTGAGATGTCCTTTGGGCCTCGTTGGGGCCTTGAAGCAGGCCCAGGATGAGTTTTTGTCTTCTGTTCTTTTTCTGTTTTTCTGTCTGGCTCTTTAATTAAAGCTGAGGTAGAGGTTGCCCAGCCCTATCCCCTGGACAGCCCCTGTCTTCAGTGTCTAAGTTCTTCTTGACTTTGTATGAGATTTTTTTTTTTTTTTTTTTGAGAGGTTTTTGCTATAGGGCACGTGCGCTCACCAGAAAGGCAGAGAGACAGAAAGCGAGAAATCACCTCCCAGGGGGGATGGCCACACCGCAATCCCTTCTCCTCTCGGGATCTTGGGACGTAGCCATTACACCATCTACTAGTCCCAGGCAAGATTTTTTTTTTTCTTTTAAGAGAGATTTTTGCTATAGTGCATGAGAGAATTTTTGCACATGTTCCCAATGTGATTTTTAATCCACCGAGTCCAGGACTAGAACAACAGTCGGCTACGTGAAAGTCCAGTGATGTAACCAGTACACCATCTGCTGGTCCCTCTCTCTGTTTGTTTTTCAAGCCTCCAGGTCTGGGCTTTGAACCATGCAGTGGTCCTTGTGGGATTCTGCCTTAATCATACCAGCATACTATTTGTGTCTTCATGGTTTCCCCCTTTTTGTGAAATGATAATTATAACAGAAACACTCCCCTCATGCTGCTGCTGATGCCGGACACCGTTTTAACTGTATCAGCTCCAGGAGTGGACACTTGTGATTTCCAGCTCATCGCTGAGGATGCTAAGGCACGGGGGACACTGCATACAGGCATAAAGGCGCCAAGTGGTGAGCCCAGGATTCAACCCAGGCCAGTCTGGCTCCAGAGTAGTGAACTACTATCAAGGGGTGCTACAGGGAAGGGCTTTAGGACTCTGCAGCTACTAATAAATGAGAACTCTGCACGCTCTTCTTCTCCAGCAGTTTCTGTCTGTATTGGCTATACTCTTTGCCTTTTTGCATACAGAATTCTCCGTGATCTTCAGAAAGCCTACTTTTTAAAAATTTATTTATTTATTTATTTATACAAAGAGGTTTTTGCTATAGGGTGCATATGCTCGCCAGAAAGACAGAGAGAGACAGAAAGCAAGAAATCATACCACAATCCCTCCATTCTCCTCTCGGGATCTTGGGCATGCACGCACACATGCCCGGCCTGAGTTTAAGCCGCCAGGTCCAGGATGCGAATCGCGGTCGACTACATGAGAGTCCAGTGACATAGCCATTACTCTAACTGCTGGTCCCCAGAAAGCCTACTTTAACCCCACCATACTTCTTTCTTGCCTTCCTTTCTGAGCCATTTCGAGTGAATGAACCTCTGGTTAGGGACTGCTCCCATGCCCTTCCATTCACGTCCCTCTGGGCCATGCTTATGGCCTGCTGGGCTGATTCCTCTTACTGGAAACTTAGTGGCCTAATTCATGTCTAGAGCTTCTTCCTACCTTTCGCCCATCATTCCATGGCCCCTACCTTTTTTATCCTACTCCCTCGTTTGTTCCAGTCCTTTCGTCCTCAGGACATGAGTCTTGTAAGTGGGACCCACACTGGTCGGTGCAATGGCCAACACCAGCCGGGCTTACCACGTTATGTGGTGGCGACGAACAGCCACCATGGAGAAAATACTGTGCTGCTGTGCTCACTGGTCTGCTTTCAGTTTCGCCGTAGCAAAAGGAGGCCGCCTGCTGCTCGCTGATGACATGGGCCTCGGGAAGACCATCCAAGCCATCTGCATAGCGGCTGTTTACCGGAAGGAGTGGCCCCTCCTGGTGGTGGTGCCGTCCTCTGTGCGCTTCACCTGGGAGCAGGTTCACTCTCTTTGTATTATGGTTTTAATACGGAACTCAGAAGACAGGGAAAAATGAGGTTGTTTCCCTTGGTGTAAAAGTGATAAAATCTCTGTTTTGTGACGGGCTGGTGATCTTTAAAGATCTTGCCTTGGGGGAAGGCACAAAGAGAACGGAAATGGCCTCCTGAGGGCAGGCCGATGACTGAGTGAATTAGACTCAGGTTATGGCTTTAGAGAAGAAAGCTAAGAAGTTAACCCTTAGACTTAAGTCAGTCTGTTGCAGATATTTCTGGTACCTCCGGTGCCCTGACGAGAAAGCCTTTCAGCTGTACCATGCTTAGTGGTCGAGATGTTTTTTCCTGCTTTACTTCCTGTTGTCCTGTAACAGTCATGTGCTATAGACACACAGATAGTAACCCCACTTACAGATGAGAAAGCGAAATCTCAGAGAGGCTGGGCCCTGTCCTTCTGCTAAGGAGGAGCAGTACGAGACCTTGACGTGGGCTCTCCTCATTCTTACACTCTGTGGAAGGGGGTATGCACAAGATGTTCCCTGCCTGCCAGGTAGTTCAATGGGGACGAATCTGACATGGACATTGTATTCTCACTCACCTTGAGCTTTTTCTGTTAGAAATCCAGGAATCGGAGTGGTTCTGTGGAATGAATGGAAATCTTTCTAAGAAACCTAGGAAAGGAGGGCCTGGTTCATCATTTATAGCTTTCCCAGCTTTATGCTACTGATGTCAGGTGTGGCTTCCCTGTGGTGTGGCTTCTCCCTGAGGCCACTGTGAGCCACCGTGAAGAAGAGCTGGTAGCTTGCTTGCTGCATGCATACGCCCAGTGGGGCATGGTCATGCTGCAGTCCCTTCTCCATTTCTCCCAGACATACTGTTCTTTTTTTTTAAAAAAAAAAATGTAATTATTAATTTTATTTATTTTTAATTTGCCTAGAGAGATACATAGAGAGAGGAAAAGTGAGAAAGCAAACTGCCAGGTCTGAGACTCAACACACAGTCAGCCATATGGAAGTCCAGCCTCCAGACATGCTGTTCTAACAAAAAGAAAGAAAAAAAAATTTTTTTAAAGCTGTGCATCAAAACAATACTCCCCTTTCTTCCCCTTTAAATTGTCAAGAGAGTGTATGCTCTCACCAGAGAAAGAAAACACCCCTCAATGGGACATGGTCATGCCACAGTCCCTTTTCCATTTCGCCATCCTTTTGGCATTTTGAGCATTACAGGCTTAACACATTTTTCAAGGTGCCTGGGCCAGGAGTTGAACTGTGGTCAGCCGTGTGGAATCTAGCTCCCGTAACCATTAGGGCACAGGGCTGGGCCACCATTTTTTTTTCTGACCTTGTGATCTGACTCTGGCATTGCTATAGGGAGTAATTATTCAATTTATATTATTACTTTGTGTATATTAGATTCTCTCAGCACCCTCAAAAAGTCTAAGAGTCTGTCAGATGCTTACAAACAGGATGGAGACTAGAGCAGAGGGCAGTACCCTCAATATCAGGACAGTGTCAGTCCACGGAGGTGGGGATACCCAGATGCCCCAGCACTAGGATGGAGGCATCCGGGTGGCCTTCCACTGGCTCCAGGTACCAGCTTGGCTAGAAATGGTAAGATTGCTGGAAAGAGCATATGGCTTTGTAGAAAACATTTATGTAAATATGAGGGAATTCAAAAAATGTATAGAGAAATGAACCACAAATTTTGGTGCAACAATTTTTCAAAATCCATGCTTCGTTTTTTTCATAATATACATTTTTTCATGAGCTTTTTGAGGACCTCCCTCCCCTCATATTTTCATCATCATCAGTGAACCCTTATGGCCTCCCTTCAGTATACCAGACTCTGCAAAGTCCTATATAAAATTCCTCTTAAAAAGAGTCACATTCTAGGGGCCAGCAGATGGCATGGTGGTTGAGGCCCTAGACTCCCACATGGTCAATAGCAGTTTAAGTCCCAGACCTGGCAGCTTCCTTTCTCACACCCCCCCGCTCTCCTCTCCCCCCCCCCCCCCCCCGTCTCTGATGACTGTAGCAAGTTTAATAATAATAATAAATTGAACGATTGTTTTCTGTTGTTTAAAGAGTGATGTTCTTGCTCTGTGGAAACTTGCTGTCTCGTTAGAGACGACAGAGCTGAAACGTGCAGGCACCACCTGCTGATGGTGGTTGCCCGGAGGTCCTGTCAGTGGGAAATGAGGAATGAGTGGGGAAGAGGGAGTGGGGATGAGTGCTGCTCACGGGACAAAGATGATGGCAGATGTAGGAGGACATGGAGGGGGGACACTGAGTTTGCTTTTCCAGAATGTTGAGTTAGTCCATAGTGTGAGGGTGCTGCTGCTTGGGGGCCAGGCCACAGCTGTGCCAGATCATCACTGGATTTTGTTCTCTCTCATCACCCCCAGGCCTTCCGTCGGTGGCTGCCATCTCTGAGCCCAGATCGTATCAATGTCGTGGTGACTGGGAAGGACCGCCTGACAGCTGGCTTGGTCAACATTGTTAGTTTTGACCTTCTTAGCAAGTTGGAAAAACAGCTTAAAACCCCTTTTAAAGTTGTCATCATTGTAAGTGACTCGGCAAAGTCTTTTTTTTTTTTTTTTTAAATGATATCATGTGTTTGTGCATGTACGAGAGAAAGCCCCTGAGAGTGTCTCCTCACACTGTGATCCCTAGTCCTCAGCTCTCCAGCTTTTTAGAATCTTGGGCATCTGTGTGTGTGCTCACTGGGCATGTGGTTTTTTTTTTTTTTTTTTTT